CGCGGAGGACCTGGACGCCCTCTGACTACATCTGTACGCGATGCTCTCCAGGGCGCTGACGGTGGATACCTGCTGATGATACGCGCCCCTGGCCTTGATTTCCCTTGCCGCCGGCCGCCCGCAGACTGGCGGAGCGCCTGCGAGCGTTTAGCTCCCGCGCTGAAAGGTGATGGAGGGAAGCGGGGAAGTTCTCGGGAGAGCAAGGCCCCGCTCGCTCCATGCACCAGCCATGAACAGCTTATCCAGTGGAGCACCAGCCAGACATGAGGCGCGCAACGCTGCTTGCTCAGCGTGCCGCGAGCCACCCTCATCTCTCGTTTCGCTTCCTTCATCGTCGTCCTCTTCCTCCTTCCGCCGTCTCCCTGCTGCTGCCGCGCTGACTATTCGGCTCCCCTCGCCTCCTTCTCCTGTCCCGCGCTGCCACCCCAAATCCCACCAGCCCTTTGGGCGTGAGTGGTTTAGAGAGCCCGCTCTGTTCTCAACCCCCCTTCTTCCCCTTCGGGGAGGGGTTTACCCCTCCCCCTACCCCCTCCCCCTGGGCCTGGAGAGGGCGCCTCGCGGGTGGTCAGAGGGGTCGTTTTCGACTCCTGGGAGGGCTAAAAAACGACACCCCTCACGAGGATTCTGGCCCCGACGGGGGGAGGGAGAAAAAATGTTCTCCCCTTCTTTGAAACCAAAATCATTGATTTTACTACGGTTTTGGCCCCATTTTGGCCTTTTGAAGGGGGCAGCGCTAATCAAAGCTCCCCTCTTCTTTCGAGCCAAAATCATTGATTTTACGAAGGTTTTGGCCCCATGTTGCCCTTCTGAGGGGGCAGCGCTAATTAAAGCTCCCCTCTTCTTTGATCGATTCCCTCCAAGATGGCCCCAAGAAGCGCCCAGGAGGCACCAAGAGGCCCCAAGATGGCCCCAAGAGGCCCCCAGGAGGCCCCCAAGAGGCCTCCAAGAGGCCCCCAAGATGCCCCCAAGAGGCCCCCAAGAGGCCCCAAGAGGCTCCCCCGAGGCACCCAAGACGCTCCTGGAAGCCCCTGGGGCCGCCAAGAGGCCCCCAAGACGCCCCAAACGGCCTCCAAGAGGCTCCCAAGAGGCCCGAAGAGGCTCCCCCAAGGCACCCAAGACGCTCCTAGAAGCCCCTGGGGCCGCCAAGAGGCCCCCAAGACGCCCCAAAAGGGGACGAGGTGCCCGAACGCCTCACGCCACGAGGAGCCCGAACGACTCACACCAGGACGAGGGGCCCGAACGACTCACACCACGAAGAGCCCGAACGACTCACACCAGAAGGAGGGGCCCGAACGACTCACACCAGGACGAGGCGCCCGAACGACTCACACCACGAGGAGCCCGAACGACTCACACCACGACGAGGGCCCCGAACGACTCACACCACGAGGAGCCCGAACGAGTCACACCAGGAGGAGGGGCCCGAACGACTCACACCAGGACGAGGGGCCCGAACAACTCACACCACGAGAAGCCCGAACGACTCACACCAGGACGAAGAGCCCGAACGACTCACACCACGAAGAGCCCGAACGACTCACACCAGGAAGAAGGGCCCGAACGACTCACACCAGGACGAGAAACCCCAAACGACTCAAACCACGAGGAGCGCTTTCTCTCCCTCCTCCTCCGCCTCGTCCTTCTCCCGCTCCCCCCACAAGGAGGATGTACTAGGAGGCCGGAGGAAGGAGGAACAGGGGAGATATGCGGGGCCAAGCGGACACACGCCTGAAAAACACGAATGTCGGCATGCTTCGCAAGAGTTGCTGTTGTGAGATGGGCTGGTGGGGATACGCGAAGCGTAAAGAATTCCTCTTCGAGCCTGGGGCCCCAGTCCTCGTCCTTCTGTTGCTGTCCAGTGAATCGTCCAACGCGCGCGCACAAAATGTAGCTTGCACAACAAATGACGGCACTTGCAATGTCGCTGTCCATGCAAAGTTGGGCAAACTCCTCTTGTCACTCGATGCAGATGGGTTGGGTACGTCTCAAAGTGATTCGCTATGGAACTCGTGATGCCGATGCGCGCGTATGGTATGTAGCATTTGGCAAGGGTAAGGGGGGCGATAAGCGGCCTAGCTGGGATGGTCTGGAGTCATGTGGAAAAAGGAAGCATTGGGCAAACAAATGTGCAATTTACAATGTCCGGGGGGGGGCGCCAAGTGCAGTCCCGGGAAGGGTGTGCCAGTCTGTTTTCGCAACCCTCCTGCGTTGGGTCTCGTTTTGAATAAAACTGTGTGGTCGCATCTCCTCGTCCCGCCTCCCTCCTCCTCTTTTCCCTCCTCATGTCCTCTCCAGCCTTCTACCTGGCCTGCATCTTCCTGCCAGTCTACCTTCTACCTCGCCGTCCTGCGTTACCTTGCCATCCCTGGGGGGCTGCGGACTGTGACACTGTCACCACATTCGATGGCTGCTGGGGGGTCCAGCGGAGTGACGCCTTACGCAGGTCACAGCGGGACCTCGCCGTCGCTTGGGGGCTGGGAACTGCTAGAAAATGCCGCCACTTTCCAGCGCTGCAGGGGGGGTCATCAGAGTTACGTCGTGCTCAGATCAGAGTGGGACCTCGCCGTCCCTGGGGGGCTGCGAACTGCGAAACTGGCGCCACTTTCGAGTGCTGCAGGGGTGTCCAGCGGAAGGACGCCTTACGCGGATCAGGGCGGGACCTCGCCCCCGCTGGAGGGCTGGGAACTGCGAGCCCGTGGCCCCTTTCGAAGGCTGCGTGGGGCGGAGTAGTAGTAGAAGTAGTAGTAGTAGTAGTAGTAGTAGTAGTAGTAGTAGTAGCAGTAGTAGTAGTAGTAGTAGTAGTAGTAGTAGTAGTAGTAGTAGTAGTAACCTTAAACCTCGGAGAATAAACCCCCAGGGATAGTAAAGTTCGGGGTTTTCAGGGAGATAATAAAAGTTGCCCGCCAGAGCCAGCATAAAGAGATATCAAGAAGAAAGAGCCAAACATATATTGAGGATTGTCTCGGCTGAGACATCCTCAACGACTTGCTTGCTTCGCTTGAGACATCCTCGAAATATTTGTCTGTTTCGCTTGAAACATCTTCAAAGTATTGCCTACTTCGCTTGAAACATCCTTGAGGGAGGAGGAGGAGGAGAAAGAGCAAGAGGAGGAGAGGAGAAGGGGATAGCAAAAACCCAAAGTTTACAACTTATTATATTTAATGTGTAAACGCTTGGTGAAAATTAAAATGTTCATCTGCTCGTGTAGGGTAGCTCACGTGCCTCGTTTCCCCAGGATAATCAACCCCAGCGATAAACAAGTTCAGGGCGCCAGGGGAAGGAGGAGGAGAAAGAGATAGAGAGACAGAGAGACAGAGAGACAGAGAAAGAAAGAAAGAGAGACAGAAATAACTACAAAGAGACAGGAGGACATCGGTTTCGCTTGAGGCATCCTTGAGGGAGGAGGAGGAGAAAGAGCAAGAGGAGGAGAGGAGAAGGAGATCGCAAAAATCCAAAGTTTAAAACTTAGTATATTTAGTTTGTAAACGCTTGATGAAAATTAAAATGTTCATCTGCTCGTGTAGGGTAGCTCACGTGCCTCGCTTTCCCTGGATCATCGTCCCCAGCGATAAACAAGTTCAGGGCGCCAGAGGGAGGAGGAGAAAGAGATAGAGAGACAGAGAGAGAGAGACAGAGAAATAAAGACGGAGAGACAGAAAGAACTACAAAGAGACAGAAGGACATTGGTGTCGCTTGAGACATCCTGAAACAACGTGTTCGCTTCGCTTGATGTTGTTATCTCAATATAAAAAGGAAGTAACCTCGATGGCGAACTTTTCCCGTGATAATGCAGTTCGGCCTCCGCGCCCCCGCGCCCCCGACCAAACTCTTATTGGTCGACGGTAAAAAACTCTAACGACTTAAGGGGGGAATACATTATTATCGTGGGCATGGGGTTAGTAGTGGTAGTAGTAGTAGTAGTAGTAGTAGTAGTAGTAGTAGTAGTAGTAGTAGTAGTAGTAGTAGTAGTAGTAGTAGTAGTAGTAGTAGTAGTAAGTAGTAGTAGTAGTAGTAGTAGTAGTAGTAGTAGTAGTAGTAGTAGTAGTAGTAGTCGTAGTAGTAGTAGTAGTAGTAGTAGTCGTCGTCGTCGTCGTCGTCGTCGTCGTCGTCGTCGTCGTCGTCGTCGTCGTCGTCGTCGTCGTCGTCGTCGTCGTCGTCGTCGTAGTAGTAGTACTAGTAGTAGTAATAGTAGCAGTAGTAGTAGAACTCGTGGTAGTAGAATTAGTAGGACTGGTGGTAGTAGAAGTAGTAGTAGTAGGAGGAGGAGGAGGAGGAAGAGGAGGGGTGTTGCGCAAATCAAGACTGGGCCTCGCCTTCGCTGTGGGGCTGCGGACTGCGAAACCGGCGCCACCTCCGGGTGCTGCTGGCGGGACCTAGCCTCGCCCCCGCTGGAGGGCGCTGCAGCTGTCACCACTGTCGAAGGCCGCTCGGGGAATTTCATCGGAGCGACGTCTGAAGCCGAGCACAGGGGGACCTCGCCGTCGCGGAGGGGTTGCGAACTGCGAAACAGTCGCGACGTTCGAGGGCTGCTGTGGGCGGGGTCCAGCGGAGTGGCGTATGTGTGCAGATCAGGGCGGGACCTCGCCGTCGCTTGGAGATTGCGGGCTGCGAAACTGTTGCGCCACGCTCCAAGGCGTCTTATGCGGGTCAGGGCGACGTCTTACGTGAGCTCTCCCGTGGGCCGTCACCATGGCCACAGTGAGGCACCTTGCGATGGCCAGGCCAAAGCCAACATGCATCAGACTGATGATCCGATCAATGTATTCCGAATGGGACAGCGGTGACATGAAACGGAGCCCGCTTGCTCTTTGCAGGCCCATTCGCACACATGAGCGGTGGCGAGTATGCGCGGCAGCGCGGGCGGATACCTCCAAAATGTTGCCCACACCACCCGAGGATACGAAAAACTCGAATCCCCCTGCGACGACCCTGATCACCATCTCTATCACCCACATGAATAGGAGCACATGTGATATGATGATGACCATCGGAACGTTTACCTTGATGGCCGGGTCGTTGGGTTTGTCACCGAGAAGAATATGGATCTCTCGGTTCACTAGGATACCGAGCACCCATGTCTGCAACAGGATGACCGCTGAAGTGACGAACGGCCACATTCTGTGAGATACCACCTTGAGGGCCTTTTCCTGCAAGCTCCCCGGCTCGGCGCTGGTCTCCTTTGCAGCGAGTGGACTCCGACGAACAGTAAGCAGCGACGCGGCGAAGCAACGAGGCAAGCAACGATTACGCATGGAGGGGCGTCTTGAAGTGGCCCAGGCCTGGGAGCTCAAGACGCTTGTTGGGCTGCTCGCGCGACCCCCCCCCGAAGCCAAACACGAACTGAATAACACATCAGAGTGAGGGGGCTGAACCGATCGGTCATTCACTGTCCCTGGGTGCGTGGCTGAGGTGGAGTTATTGTTGTTGTTGTTTTTGTTGTTTTTTGTTTGTTGTCTGTTGTTTGTTGTTGTCGTCGTCCCACCCGCAACCCGCCCCGCGACCCACCCGCGACCCACCGCGCCACCCACCCGCGAGCCACCCGCGACCCACCCCGCGACCCACCCGCGACCCACCCCGCGACCCACCCGCGACCCACCCCGCGACCCACCCCGCAACCCACCCGGCGACCCGCCCGCGTCCCACCCCGAGACCTTCCAGGCGACCCACCCGCGACCCACGGGCGACCCACCCCGCGACCCATCCGCAACCCACCCGCGACCCACCCGCGACCCACCGCGACCCATCCGCGACCCCCGGGCGACCCACCCCGCGACCCACCTAAAATGTTTGGCGCCTGCGGCGGGTTTCTTTTGCATTCGTTCCAGGTGGAGAACCTGCGACCCACCCGCGACTCAAACCGCTGTCAGTGTACAAAACAAAATGTTCGGCGCCTGCGGCGGGCTGTTTTTGAATTCCTTTCACGTGGAGGTGGAGAGCCCGCGACCCACCCGCGACCCAAACTACGTTCACTGAACAAGCCAAAACTTCGGCGCCTGCGGCGGGTTTCTTTTGCATCGGCGACCCACCCGCGACCCACCCGCGACCCACCGCGACCCACCCGCGACCCCCCCGCGACCCACCCCGCGACCCAGCCAAAATTTTCGGCGCCTGCAGGTGGAGAGCCTGCGACCCACCCGCGACCCAAACTACGTCCACTGAACAAGCTAAAACTTCAGCGCCTGCGGCGGGTTTCTTTTGCATCGGCGACCCACCCGCGACCCACCGGCGACCCACCCCGAGACCCACCCGCGACCCACCCCGCGACCCACCCGCGACCCACCCGCGACCCACCCGCGACCCACCGCGACCCACCCGCGACCCACCCGCGACTTACCCCGCGACCCAGCCAAAATTTTCGGCGCCTGCGGCGGGTTTCTTTTGCAGTCGTTCCAGGTGGAGAACCTGCGACCCACCCGCGACCCAGGAGGAGAAGGAGGAGGAAAAGGAGGAAGAGGAGGAGGAGGTGGAGGAGGAGGCGGACGACGACGACGACGACGATGATAAGGACGAGGACGCCGACGAGGATAGGAGGAGGAGGAGGAGGAGCAGGAGGAGGAGGGCGCCATCGACAGGGAAGGTGAGGGCCACGAGGTCCGCTGGCTCGACGCCCGCGTCGCCCGCGCCCGCCCCCTCACTCTGATCCGCACTTGCGGGGTGCTATATAGCATATGTAACCCGCGGAGGGGCATTGGCGTGCCAAGGTTCATAACTGTTCTTTCCCAGCGGCAATTAACCCACGCCGATCACTCCACAAAATCGACTCCATCGCCTTTTCCGCCAAAGGTGTGTCTCCAAGACGGGCTCCCGCGTGACAAATCAGGTTTCAGATAGCCTCCACCACGGTCCCAAGCCGCCTACATGACGGACAAGATGGCTCCACGGGGGTCCAAGACGGGCCCAAGACTCCCCCGAGACGGTCCAACATGACTCCGAGATGGCCCCAAATGGCAACAAGACGGCTCAAGATGCCCCCACCCCAGATAGAGGCCAACATTATTCATGTCGCTTATGACTTTGAACCAATTTTCGCGGTCTCGCCGTTTCTGCCTTCTGATCGCTCAAGCCGGCCCCAATACGACACCAATACGTCCGAACAGATCTCCAAGGGGGCCCCAAGCCGGCCCAAAGAGGCCCCCAAGACGGCCTCCGAAGGCGCCATTCTGGCCAAGAGAGCCGGAAGACTGCCCAACAGGCCCCCAAGACGCCCACTGGGCTTGTAAGAGGCCCCCAAGAAGCCCCCAAAGGCTCAGAAGAGGGTCCAAAGAGGCCCCATAGAGACCCAAAAGAGGCCTCCTCCTCTTCCTCCCCCCCTCGCCTTCTCGCCTTCACTATATATCTCTGTCCCTCTGTCTGTCTGTCTGTCTGTCTGTCTGTCTGTCTGTCTGTCTGTCTGTCTGTCTGTCTTTCTGTCTGTCTGTCTGTCTGTCTGTCTGTCTGTCTCTCTCTCTCTCTCTCACGCTCCCAATCTCTCTCTCTCTGTGTCTTTCTCACGCATCCCAAAAGCATGATCACACAAAGGAGCAAAACAAGGTATGACCCTCAAGAAAAACACATCGACGAAATCGGAACATTGACTGGTCTTCGAACGGGAACGATCGAAACACCGAATGTTTTTTTTGTGCGTGTCTGTCGGATCCTCGATTTCGCCATTGAGACTTCCTGGGTGCTATGGTCTTCATGGTGTTACATTTGCTTTTGATCATCATGCTCCCGTTGATTGTCCGCGCCTCTCCCTCACCAGCGTCGCCTCCACCTGCCCCCCCCCCGCCCTCAGCTAGACGGACGGAGCCAGAAACCAACCGAAGCAGCAACATCAACAAACACTTTTTTTTATCTGCGGGGCGAGAGCGAATCTCTTCCGCTAAAAGCTAGGCGGGCTACGCGCAAGGGTAATTAGGGAGACAGGGCACAAGAAGGCGGGGCCTCAGGCGGCCGGAGAGGGCGGGGCCCTGGGGTGCAGGCGGTGCCGAAGTGCAACATCAACAAACACGCCTGAAACAAAATAGCGTCACAGACCGCAGCCAAACAAATCAACGAACTCAATGCCTGGAGTGGCTTGGGAATGGAGCACTCAAACACAAGTCCTGTTTGGATGCTCTGTCAACACGCACCCCGCAAGCATCATCATAACCGTACGACTCACAACTGAGGAGACACACGCTCAACGCCCACAGTGAGACCCAGCCCCCCACTCCCCTACAACCCTCGTCGAAATTGAGCGCAAGTTTTTTCCACCCCCGTCGCCCCCAGATTTCAATGTTCATCGACAGGCGCATCGCGGCCGGCGGGATCCGTGGAAAATCTCGAAGTCGCCGGCGTCGGCGTGAACATTGAAATTGGGGGTCGGGGGGCGCCGCCAGGTCGCAGCTAAAACTTGCGTTCAATTTCGACGAGGGATGTAGTCCCACATGGGAGGCGGGTTATACGGGTCGTCGGCGGCACCAGGTGCCGGTGCGCCGGGCACGAAGACCGCGGGGAAAAGGGACCGCGGGGGGTTCCAGGTGGTCGGCGGCAACCAATGCGAAAAGACCGGCCCCGCGGAAAACCGGGGAAAAGGGGTTCGTGCCACTGCGAACCGCAAACACGTATACGTGTGTATATATATATATATATATATATGTATTACATATTTATGTACACACCGACCTACCTACCGACCTACCGACCTACCGACCTACCGACCTACCGACCTACATGCATACATGCATACATGCATACATGCATACATGCATACATGCATACATGCATACATGCATACATGCATACATACATACATACACATGCACACGTACATACATGCATGCCTACATACATACATACGGAATAAGGACTAAAACCACGATCGCGTCGTGCGCGCTGAAGTTCTAGCGCAGTCAAAGTCAATCTACCGGACTGGACGAAGATAGGCATTGTCCCGCAAGGACAACAGTCTGGGAGCGTACTCTGCGACGGGCGCTCGAGGAGTCGTTGACTAAGCAGGCCCCAGGAGTTCCTGCAACTCTGAGCACACGCACCGCGCAAGTGCCTGGAGGTAACCTTTTTCGGAGGCTTCGGGAGGCTCGTGGCCTGTGGGCCGTCTTTCGCGGTCCTGAGGATCTTCTGGGCGTCCGGACGCCCCTCGGACTGTCTCGGAAATGCTCGGGAGGCCCCGGAGCCAACGACACGGAGCAGCTCACACCACCCAAGGGCTGCGAAGTTCAGTCGAGGCCGTATCGGCCGTGGCCGTGGGGGTCCCTTGGGTCGCACTGTGCCTTGCTGGGAAGCGTCAAGATGTTGCGCGATATACTGTCCCGGACAGATGGCACGGCCCATGTTTCTAATGGAGGCGATGCCCAGCACGACTTCGCGCCATAGGTCTGCGTACAGGGCGACTCGCGCTGCGGTTTTCTGGAAAGCGCCAAGGAACGCCACAGGAAGGCGCGCAAGGCAGCCACGCGGCGGACCCACGGCAGCCTAAGGGTGGACGCAAGAAAACCCCTAACAGCCTCGGAAAACCATGCTGGGAGTCTATGTGGATGCCTTTGGGGGGCGTATTGGATGGCTCTTGGGGGCTTCTGGGGGTGAGCCTCTTCGGTTTTTGGTGGGGGTCCTCTGGTGGTCTCTTGGGACTTCTTGGGCGCGCCTCGGGGGGCATCCCCGGGGCTCTTGGCGTCTGGGCTCGGACTGACGAATGGGGTCGGCCTTGAAAAACATACCCAGACGAAAGACCTGACCGTATGCAGTTGTGAGTACCGCGCTGTGGCCATCGCTGTCGCTGGAGCCCCCCATGGGGTCACGAAGCGTTTAAGGGGTGTGCTACGAAACGTGTGGGGAGTGTGCCGAAATGAATGGGGAACCGCATGCGAACTGCGCCACGGAGGCGCTCGGTTGAGCCCCCTATGGGACCACGAAACGTGTGAGGAGTGCGCCGAAACGGGAGCGACGCCCACATGCGAACTGCGCCACAGACGCACTCGGTGGAGCCCCCTATGGGGCCACGCAGCGTGTGAAAACTCTGCCGAAACAGGCGTGACGCCCACTTGCGAACTGCGCCACGGAAGCGTCAAGAGGAGCTCCCTGTGGGGCCACGACGCGTGTGAGGGGTGTTCCGAAACGGGCGTGGCGCCCGCATGCGAACTGTTCCACAGACGCCATCGGTGGAGCCCCCTATGGGACCACGAAGCGTGTGAAGGGTGTGCCGAAACGGGAGCGACGCCCACATGCGAACTGCGCCACGGAGGCATTCGGTGGAGCTCCGTATGGGGCCACGGAACGTGTGAGGAGTGTGCCGACATGGGCGTGACGCCCACATGCGAACTGCGCCACGGAAGCACTCGGTGAAGCTCCCTATGGGGCCACGACGTGTAGGATGGGGTGTGCCGAAACGGGAATGGCGCCAACATGCGAACTGCGACACGGAAGCCTTGCAGTGGGCGCACGGCCGCAAGAAACCGTCGCAAGAAACCCAAACCTGAAAATCCACAAATGTTCTTCCCCAGGCTCTGGGATTCTTGGCCAGGGGCTCGAGGCGGAGAAACCCAAGGAACCCTGGCCCGAGGAGTTTCTTCGCGGGTCGCGCTAGGAACACGCACGAATAGTAATTTCGCTCTTGACTACGAGGACGCAATAGTTACGTGGATTCGTGGCGTTGAAGTCTCAGGGAGGGCGTTTTGGCAAGTTTGTCCAGACGCAACAATCAGCTTGATCCGTGGCGTTGGAATGCCGAAAACAATGGGTTCGCATGCTCCAGGGTCTTCAAACGGTTGTTGGTTGTTTCCCAGCGAGGCAGTTCCAACAATGGAAATGGACCGCTGCAAAGAGGCCTCTGAGGAGGGAGCTTGGAGGGAGGGTTTATTCCAACATCGTTGAAGACTCTTGGGTTTCCACTGCTGCTCCTCCTCCTCCTCCTCCTGCTCCTCCTCTTCCTCATCCTCCTGCTCCTTCTCCCCCTCCTACCGGTCCTGCCCCCCCTCGTCATCCGCCTCCTCCGCCTCCTCCTCCTCTCCTTCTCTTCCTCCTCCTCGTCGCCCCCTTCCTCCTCCTCCTGCTCCTCCTCCTCCTCCCCCCCTTCCTCCTCCTTCCCCATCCTCCTCATTCTCCCTTCGTTCGGGCAACCAACTCGCGCGCCCCGTGTGCCTCTAGCCCTGGACAGCGGATCTTGATCAGTCGATTGGCAGACCCCGGCAGCACGCGGCGAGGAAAGAAATGACAGGGGCATGAAGAGAATGAGGATGACAACGGCAACGTTTTCTGGGAGACGGCGTTCGCGGTTGCTTCCATGTTCCCTGTCGTGTGCCCAGTCGGGGCAGGCAGTGTAGAATCCATTTCAACGTTCTACCACCAGGGACAGCATTGGCCGATGGCCGCCACCCGCCGAAGCGGGCGCCCGCCCACGTCGAAACATCGCCCACGTTGACGTTGCCGCCGACGCCGAGCTGCTCGGCGTCAGCGGCGTCGTCGAACACAGCGGCGAGGTCCCGGGTGCTCGGCGCGGCGGCTGCGCCAGGAGGCTCACCGGGCAAGGCCGGAGAGGTCGATCTCGCCTCGCCCTTCGGGATGGCCCCGGCGGACCTCGCCCGGTCGACGCGCGTGGGCAAGTCGGGGCAGGACTCGCCGGCCGCCGCGCCGCTGCCGCCGTCGGCGCCGTTAGAGCGCGCCCCTTTCGCCGAAGGAGGCACGGGCGCGCCCCCTTTTGCCCAACAGCACCTTCGTGAAGCGCAGCTGCTTGTCCCTGAGCGCGCGGTGCCCCTCGGCGCCCCGCGCCGCCGCCGCCGTCGCAGACCCCGCGGGCGGGTGGCCTGTGGTGGCGCCGCGCTGCGCGGGACGCCAGTCGCGCTCCACGGGTCGCTGCTGCGCGCCCGCCGCCCGTGGTCTTTTTTGGCGCTGGTGGGGGGAAAAAGCCAGCGGCCCTGGAGCGCGCCAAGTTCTGGCGCAGCTCCACGCTCTCTCTCGTGAGCGCGCTCTTCGCCGCGGTCCTCTTCTCCCCCGTGTCCTCGCGCCGCTGCTTCTCCTCGGGGGGAGACAGGCGCGGGGCGCATTGTTCTCGCTGTTGCGTTGGAATCGATTAGACGCGCCAGGGATTACCGCCGACATCCTGCAGAAGGCAAGCTTCCAGCGCTTGACCTCGTTCCGAGCAGTTTTCGCCTGGCCCTTCCACGACGGCGCCTAATCGAGCGCGCTCTTGGCCGACCGCGCGCGTTCGCTGGAGCGTCTCCTGTGGGCGCGCCGCGAAAGAGGGACGCGATCAACTGCCACGCAAAAGCGGCACGACTCGGAAACACAAAACGACAATCATGTGCGATGCTGTGTTTCCGGGTCGTGTCGCTTCTGAGTGGCACTAATTGGATGTTGGGTTGTAGCGTGTTTGTACCATCATGGTCTTCAGAGCGTCTTCTGTCTTGTCGTGCTGCTCCGTCGCTCGGCGGATCGCCGCGCGGACCTTGTCAAATGCCGCGCGGTGGAAGGTCGCCACCATCTGTTTGGGCCGTGGCTGTTGGAGGAAAGCTTGAAGTTTCTGTTTGGCATGGTGCCCCCTGTTCGCTCCCAGCTTCCTGTCGTAGGCTGCGGAGACCCCCGTCGGGTTGCCCATGGCGTCAATCAGTCGTGTTCTAGCGGGATACTGAGCCTAAACACCCTTGTCTGGCCGTGGTTCAAGTTGCACGCAATTGCTTCCCCATCCCATGTGAGTTCACCCATTCCACTCGTCCTTACCATCCCCTTATCATCATCCTCCCTTGCCCTCCTCCTCATCATTCTTCGAACGAGAGGATCACGAGGGGCAGCCGCTGGCGAGGAATACGCTGAAGACGGCGCCAAAGGAATACCGATGACGAAGACGATTTTGAAGAAGATGAAGGTGACTACGAATACGAATGATGCGAACTAATAAGAAAAGAGACGAAAAGACATGATCGTGTGGGGACAACCATTTCGATTCATATATATATATATATATGTATATACATGATATGGCCATGTGTAGATGTGTAGGTCTGTGTATGTGTATGGTTGAGTCTGTACATATATATACATACATACATACATACATACATACATACATACATACATACATACATACATACATATATGGGCGTGTGCCTGTGCATGTATGTGTAGATATGTGCGTATGGCCATCATTGGCCTCGCCGGAGATCCGCGCATCAGATATAGATGAACATGGAGATCCACGCATCATATCCTCGCTGGAGGTCCGCTGAAGTTCCTCACGGTCGCATGTAGATTTACATGCGTAACCATACATATACGGATGCAAACATGAATATGTAGATCGATGCGTACACCAGCGTATGTATACATGTCTGTGCGTGTGTCGGTAAATCTGTGTGCCGCAGAAGTATGCCTACACACATATATATATATATGTACATAAACAGGCATACCTATGCTTGTATTACTGTATGGACATGTTTGTATGCATGCATGCATGCATGTATGTATGAACGCATATGTGTATACAGAACTATGTATGTACAATGCCTCCCACTTCCCGGGCCCGAATTGGACTGCCCCCGGAAACCAACCACACGGCCATCAACAACTTCCCGCCGCGGTCACTTCTCGGGAGGGCCTTCAGGAGGGAGGTGGGAAAGGAGGGGCGGGGCCGCGGGGGGGGCAAGGACGGGGGGAGGCCGACGAGCCGACGACGAGGAAGGAGCGGGCCCTGGACGAGAAGAGGCACCTGGAGCGAGGGCGCACGACGCCGGAGGCCCCTCTGGAGGGGCCGATTGGGCCGCCAGCTCCTTGCGGGTGGCCATGTAGATGTCGCCGTTGTTCAGCAGGTCCCTGCCGAGCTCCTGGCCGCGCCCGAGCTCAGGCTTCCCCCGCGGCCCGCGCCACACACGCACAGGAGGCCAGCGCTAAGGGGCCAGGCGGCTCTCTCCGAGGAGCAGGGCCGCTTCTCCTCCCGCCCCCATCCGCTCCACCCTCCCGCGCTTCCTCCTGCTCCTCTCCCCCTCCTCGTCCTTCCGTCCGTCTGCAGGATGCAGCGGGCTGCGTTTGGTCACGTCAGCGGTTGCAGAACGCAGGCAGCGGCGGTGGTTCGCCGCAGGCGGCTTCGATCTGTACATGGGTACATGACTGGATATGTTGTTCAGCATCGCGCGCACATCTCTAAACCCGGCCCCGCTGACATTGCTCTCTGGAATTTTATTCGGTCTAGGATGCCCTCCAAGACGGCGCCCAAAACAACCAAGATGCAACCAAGACGGCCAGGGAGGCCCAAGACAACTCAGGAAGTTTCCAAACCTGCCTCAAGACAACCCCAGAGGCAGTCAAGACGGCCAAAGAGGGTTCCAAGAGGCCTTCTAGGTGAGCCCGGGAAGGCAAACAACAGTGGTTTGCCCCAGGTGTGTAAAGGATACTGAAATCCTAATCAGTTTAGGTTTGGAACCGCCGAATCTGTCCCAAGATGCGCACAATGTAGCTCCGACGCAGCCCAAGAGGCCCCCAAGAGGACCCCAACGAGGCCCCAAAGAGGCCCCCAGCAGGCCACAAAGAGGGCCGCCAAGAGGCCCCCAAGCGGTCCCAAGAGGCTTTGAAGACCGCCATGAAGCCCCCGAGACGTCCGAAAAGGCCTCCAAGAGGCCCCCAATGCGCCCCAAGAGGCTTTCGAGAGCCGCCAGGACCCCCCCCCCCCCCAAGACGCCCCACGCGGCCTCCAGGAAACCCCGAGATACATGCCAAGAGACTTCGGGATGCAGCCAAGACGCATTTGACCCACGGGGGCTCCCCGAACTCTCCCAATGATGCCGCGCTCCCCCATAATTTCGGCTCCCCCGGGCATCGTTCCTGGATGGGCTGGTGGGGATACTTTTTTGGTTGGCGGCTCCCAGGCTAAGGTCAGGAAGCGGTGCGTCGAACGGGGCGCAGAACGAAGATAATTAGCCGAAGAGGCGCGTGCACATGCAGGGGACAAAATGACCCAAATTAAGCACCGTGGACCGACGCCGACATCCCGGCGGGCGGGGACGCCACGTCGCAACGTGCAACGGCAACTGCGGCCACCGTGGAGAGGTCGCACCAGCGTGCGGGGACGCCACGCCGCAGCGAACGGCGGCGACGGCTGCACGGCGAGGCCATGTGTACTGTAGCAGCGGGGAGAAGTTGCCCTGTCGGCGCCAACCTCCCGCCGAACGACACACGGAAGCGAGGCAGAGAGGGGGGCAAGAGAGCCGCTGCGGACGCCAGACGGGCACACAGCGTCAGAAAGAGAAGGAGAAGCGGCACAGAGAGCGGCCTCACTCACCATGGCTCACTGTCGCAGAACTCGGGTAAAGCCCGCCCTTGCACATGGGAGGGGAGGCGACCCAGTCAGCGAACACGAGGTAACGCCACTTCCAGCCTGTGGCCAGTGCGTACACAACGTATCCAACTCTCGCGGTTCGGGGGCACAACGTTGCAAGCGCTGACAGAGGCAGGGGCTGGTGGGGATACGGAAAGCGTTAAGAATTCAAAGTCAGTTCAGTTACGCGGGTGCACAGGCACCACGGTGGCGGGGGTTGTCGCATGCAGCTGGACAAATATATGTGTGAGAGAGCGTGATCAACCGCCGCTTTACTGTAAAAAATCCCCCCCCTTTCCCCCAGAACCCAGGGGCCCCCACCCCCCTCCGAAAATCCACCCCCCCTGCTGGATCCCCCCCCCCTCCCCTAACCCCTCCCCCCCCCCTCCGGAAAACCGGAGGGGGATCACTACTACCCGTTCCCCCCCCCCCCCCCTCCGGAAAACCGAGGGGGGGCCACTACCGGTTCGAACCCTTCCCCCCCCCCTCAGAAAACCAAAGGTCACTACCGGTTCGAACCCCCGCCCCCTCCTCCAGAAAACCGAGGGGGGGTCACTACCGGTTCGAACCCCCCTCCATCCCCTCTCCATCGAAAACCGGGGGGGTCACTACCATAACCCCCCCACACACCCCTCGACAACGGGGGAAGGTCACTACCGGTTCGAAGCCCCCCCCCCTTCCCCTCGAAAACAAGTGGGGGCCACTTCCGGTTCGAACCCCTCCCCACCCCTCCGCTCACCGCCAGAAAACGACTCCCGGGTCCCTACCACCGTCCGCACCACATCCCCCACTGCTGTCCCCAGCACTAATGTCCTCACCACTACTGTCCCCGCTGTTCCCGTCCCACTGTCCCCACCAGTGCCCCAGCCACTGCCGCACTGCCCCCACTGTCCCCACCACTGTTCCCATCACGGTTCCACTCTCCCCATTGTCTCCACGGCCCCAACCACTGTCCCACTGTCCCCACTGTCCCACTGTCCCCGCCGCTGTCCCACTGAGCTGCCCCACTGTTTCCACCGCTGTCCCCACTGTCCCCACTGATGTCCCCACTGTACCTCTGTCCCATCATCCCACCGCCGTCCTCGCCACCGCCCTCACCACTGTCCCCACCACCACTGTACCCTCCACTGTCCCACTGTTTCCACCACATCCCCACTGTTCCCACACCGATGTCCCCACCACCACCGTCCCCACCACTGTCCCACTGTCCCCACTGTTCCCACCATTGTCCCTGCTGTCCCCACCAGTGTCTCATTGCCCCCACTGTCCCCACCATTGTCCCACCACGGTCCCGCTCTCCCCACTTTCCCCACGGTCCCCACCACTGTCCCACTGTCCCCACTGTGCCCACCACTGTCCCATCGTCCCCGCCGCTGTCCCACTGTGCTGTCCCACCGTCCCCACCGTCCCCATCACCGTCCCACTGTCCCCACTGTCCCCGCCACATTCCCCACTGTACTACTCCCACCACTGTTCTCACCACCGCCCGCACCACTGTTCCCACCACTACCGTGCCCACAACTGTCCCATTGTCCCCACCGCTGTCCCGCTGTTCCCTCACCACTGTCCCCACCACCACCGTCCCCACCACAGTCCGCACCACTGTCCCACTGTCCCCGCACCACTGTCCCCACCACCACCGTTCCCACCACTGTCCCAGCATCCCCACCATTGTCCAACTGTCCCGAAAAGCGGGCATCGTCTGCCTGCGGCGAAGGATGGGGGGGGCGGGGGTCTCGAATCGGTAGTGACTCCCTCCGGTTTTCGATAAGGGGGGGGGTTCGAACCGGTAGTGACCCCCCCCCCCTTTCATGATGGACTGGGGGGGTGGGGGGGGAGGGGTTCGAACCGGTAGTGACCCCCCCCGTGGTTTTCGAGGGGGGGGGGGGACGGATTGGGAACCCTAGTGACCCCCTCCGGTTTTCCGCCAGCAGCGGTAGAACACGCTCTTTCATATATGTACATGCCTGTGGCATGCCTGTGTATATGTATACACCTCCACATCTGCACAGACATTCACATTTGCAAACGCACGCACACAACATCTACATGCACAGATTTACAAATGTGCAGCCTTCACTTCCATCCCGCGTGTATTCAGACGGGTGGCCCTTCAAACCTAACCACTTTCACGCCTTCCCTTTCCTCCTGCAATCTCCGTGACCCATCCCAAAGCCCACCCCACTCGTCCAAACGATTCAAAACCTTCGCAGACCTCCTGGCGCCCTCACCCACCCGCTCTGTCCTCCGTGCTGCTTCCTCCCTGGTCCATTTATCTCACCTTCTTTTCTTCCCTCCCTGTCTGGCTTCCCTCATCGCACCCCCCACATCATCCGAAGTGGAATCCACTAGTGGCAAGCAAATGTAGGGCACACGTGTTATTGCAGCGACCTCAGCTCCCCGAAAGCACACGGCCATCAACATGTTGACAACGGCCATCACGCGTGATCCAGCGAAACAACATCCATGCGATCGTTGCCCCATGTAAGTGCAGCATATGTTTGCAACTGACGTGGCCTCTGCCCTTTCCCCGCTACCGATCCAACGCCCACAGCTAACCGACAAGTCGGCTGGGAAGCATCGAGGCCAGCCCCGCGGCTGGTGCAGCCCCGAGGCTGCCGCAGGGCTGACAAAACAGGAGCGCTCCAGATCATCAGGCCCGCGGGTTCTGGCTTTCCCCTCTCCTCCCAGCTCTGCAACGCCCTTCTCGCCCCAGCCCCCCCAACCTCCGCAGACGTCATCACGTCATGGCACAGCACACACGGGCTGGAAGCATGGGCAGAAGACGCGCGAGGCTCGATGCCCGAGTGCCCCCGTGGATGAGCGAAGCCTTGCAGATTCCCTCGCCCGCGGACGAGGCCTCCGCTCGAAGCGGGCCTGGCGCCTCTCGGCGGGGGCCCACGGCATGACCGTCGGCGGGCGACAGCGGGGGCCCCCACATAGCCTGCTGCGAAGGCAAAGCACTTGTGCTGCGGGGCCTCGTGCCGGAGCGCTTGTCCAAGGCAGCGGTGTCTTGGTGGTCGCCAGACAGGGCGGAATGGTAGCTAGAGCGTCGACACTGGCTCCGGAATGCACATGCCCAGTGCGCGGAGCCACTCGGGGATCCCCAGACCGCGATGTGGCCCCGGGACGAAGTCCCGCGCTGCTCCGACCGACTTCTCCCGCATTCCCCTCTTCTCCCTCCCTGCGAACCCACGCAAAAACGGCCTGAACGATTCCCCGCGCACGCTATCGTGACCCGCCTCCAGACGCAGGTCCCGCTGCGGCGACAAAGGTGGAGGATGATAAAGTTAAGTCGGGCCTGTCCCCCTACAGGGTGATTTTCTACGGAAAATTAAACATTCTCCTTCTGCGAGCGCAGGCGCGGTCCGTGCCACACGCGCGCCCCCTGACACCGAACGGGCCCAGGACGACTGCGCCGCGCATCCTTCCGCATCATTCCCCTCTTCCTCCTGCTGAACCTATTATTCATCTGCCACCTCCTCCTCCTCCTCCTCTAATTCGCATAGCTCCTCTTTTGGAACTGAGCGCGCAGATGGGGTCCCGTCGGGAGTTCCGATTTCGCCATGCGACCCGTCGGCGGACGGAGAAGGCATGAAGGATGGGCGGGATGGAATGTCTAGGAATGGAGGGATGGGAAGGGGTGGCAGGGAGAGGTACTCGCCATCGCTCGGACGTACATTCCCTGTTTTTTTTCGGTTTCGTGCGTGGCTCTTTCGCCACATGATCAAGGATGCTCCCCGATGGCCCTCGCCGAAGGAAAAATGCACACGTCCGAGCGATGCCAGGGGCAGGGAGAGGCAGGGAGAGGCAGGGAGAGGAGAAGGGCAGGGATGGAACAAGGGGGGACATCGGCTGTCAGACACTGTGGCGCGAGCGCGCCGAGCTTGAGATGCCTTTCTCTCTGTCTCTCTCCCTCTCTCTCTTTCTCTCTCTCTCTCTCTCTCCCTCTATCTCTCCCTTTCTCTCTTTCTTTCTCTCTTTCTCTCTCTTTCTGTTTTGTTTTCTCTATCTCTCTCTCTCTCTCTCGACAACGGCGAGAGCCGCGCGCCCCCCACTCGCGCATGACCTGCGTCTCACGAGCAGGCCGGGCCAGAGCTGCGTGCCGCACCTCCCGTGCACTCCCCTATGCGGGCCTCCTCCGAGCGCTGCACCCCCTAGCCTTTTCCGAGCGCTGGGCCTCGCCTCCTCCGAGCGCGGGCACCCACATTTTACCCCCCCCTGCAGCGTTGGCCTCACTCAGACCGGCGCGCTGCACCCGTCGTTCAGCACGGCGCTCTGGCCGAGTCGGCGGCCTCTCTCTGTTCTGGACCCGGATCGTCGCGTCGGCGGCCTCTCTGCTCTGGGCCCGGATCGCTCCTCCTCGTTGTGGCCCCCCTCCTCCCTCCCTCCTTCGCCTTCTTCCCGTGGTCCTCCTGCTCCTCCCACTCCTGCCGCTCCAATTCTCGCTGCTGCTCTTCGTCCTCCGTTTCCTCCTTGGTCCTCCTCCTCCTCCTCCTCCTCCTCCTCCTCCTCCTCCTCCTCCTCCCCCTCCCCCTCCTCCTCCTCCTCCTCCTCCTCCTCCTCCTCCTCCTCCTCCTCCTCCTCCTGTTCGTCCTGCTCATCCTCCTGCCTCCTATGTCCTATGTACCCCGCTCCCCTGACACAGTTGCGCATGACACTATGGAGTCTCGTTTCAAGTTCGAAGTCTGCTATTACCGTCCGCGGGTAAAGAGAAAATCGTCGCAATGACACGGAATGGGATGGGATGACATATATGGAGCGTACCTGTACCTGGTTTGTTCATCCCTCTCTCCTCCGTCCGATCACCCTCTCAGTCCCTCCCTCTGCATCTCTCCCTCTGCCTTCTCCCCTGCAACTCTATTTCCCCCCCTCACTCCTCCTGATCATCCTCGCCAATTCTCCCACTCCATCGTCGTTTTTGTTCGTCCTGCCTTCTCCTCCTGCCCCCGATCTCCCCTACCCTCGCCCTCATATCCGCATCTTCCGACCTCCCCCAATCATCTCGACCGTTCCCTGGTCGTAGTCGTCGTCGTCGTCGTCGTCGTCGTCGTCGTCGTCGTCGTCGTCGTCGTCGTCGTCGTCGTCGTCGTCGGCGTCGTCGTCGTCGTCGGCGTCGTCATCGTCGTCGTCGTCATCGTCGTCGTCCTTGTCTTCCTTCTCCCCCACCTCTCGTCTTCCTCCGCCTCTCCTCGCCGCCTCCCCTCGCCAGAGAGACAGACCAAGGGACGCCCCGCTTCCTCGGTGGGCAGGACGCCCTCGAGGCCGGGCACAACGCAGCACGCCGCCATGCAGCCGGCCGACTCCCCGACCGAGTCGCCATCGCTGTCCATGTCCGAGTCTGTCTTCCAGTCCTCTTGCCCCGCAAGCCCCGCCCCTCCTCCTCCTCCTCCTCCTCCTCCTCCTCCTCGTCCTCGTCCTCCTCCTCCTCCTCCTCGTCCTCCTCCTCCTTTTACTCCGACTCCTACTCCTCCCCACGTTCCCTTCCTCCCTACTCTTCCTCAACATCCCCTCCTACCCACAGCTCCCCTTAGATACTCACCCTCCAAGCTTCTCCTCCTCCCCGACCTCATGCCCAGTCTTGGTCCTCCTCCTCCTCCGCTTCCTCCTCCGCGTCCTCCAACAATTCTAGCCCTGTGTAATCATTCTCACCAGCATCATCATTATCAGCAGCAGCCCCAGCAACAGCATCGTCATCAGCATCATAATCATCTGCATCATGGTCAGCATCATCATGGCCAGCATTCACAACATCATCATCAACATAGTCGTCGCCATCATCACCAGCATCAGCATCATCCGACTCATCATCCGCATCATCATCATCAGCAGCAGCAGCATCACCATCATCATCATCATCACCATCATCATCACCAGCATCACCACCACTACCATCATCTTCCTCACCCCCGATCACCGTCATAATCAACACCACCATGATCACCAAAATAATCATCAGCATCAGCAGCAGCATACTCGTCATCATTATCATCAACAGCCTCAGCACCATCAAGATCATCAGCATCATCCTCAGCCCGATCATCGCCAGCAACAACATCATTATCGTCACCGCAACCCTCATCATCATCATCATCATCATCACCATCATCATCATCATCACCATCATCATCATCATCATCAACAACATCATCATCGTTAATCCCAACCATCATAATCATCACCATGCTCAACACGATCATCATCGTCGTCCTCATCATCAGCCGTCACCATCACCCGCATCAGCATCAGCATCAGCATCATCGTGGACATCATCATCACCATCATCATCATCATCAGCATCATCAAGATCATCCGTATCGCCATCAGAACATAACCATCATCATCAATACCATCATCATCATAATCACCAACAACAGCATCATCATCATCAACAGCATCAGCATCAGCATCAGCATCAGCATCATCATCATCATCATCATCATCATCATCATCGTCGCCATCATCATCACCATCATCATCCGTATCCCTTATTGTTCTCCTTATCCTCCTCCTCCTCCTCCTCCTCCTCCTCCTCCTCCCCCTCCTGTTCCTCATCATCATCCTGCTCATCCTCATCCTTCCCACTCTTCGCCGTCCAAATCGTCCCTCATCATCCTCCTCCGTCCCCTTCCGTTATCCTTCTTATGCCCCTCCTCGTCATCCTCGTTCTTTTCGTTCCCGTACCACTTTCTCTCTTTTTGCTCTCCTCCTCCTCCTCCTCCTCCTCCTCCTCCGCCGCCGCCGCCGCCGCCTCCTCCTCCCCCCCCCGTCGTCATCCCAACTTCCCCTCCCCACTCCTCGTCCTCCCCGTGCCCGGCTCGTGTTCCCCCGAAGCTCCCGACCGGTCGCCCGCGCTGCCACGCCGCGCACAGACACAGCCCACCCGCCGATGTTGGGGCGGGCGTCGCTTGATGGGGAGGGGCGAGGGTGGGTGGGGGGAGGGAGGGAAAGGTGCACCTTTGGGGTCCCGAGGGACCCCTTTTGGATCCCGACGGGCCCCCTTCTGGGCCCTAAAGGGCCCCTCTCTGCAGCCCTCTCTGCCCCCCCTCAATTTCTCGCCCCCCCAGCTACGCGTCCTCCGACGACGGGGAGGGAGGCGAAAGCCAGGAACCCCGAGCGTCGGGTGCCCCTCAGTGGCCCCAAGCGTGTTCCCGTCCTATCTTTTTCGTGCAGGGAGCGGTCGGATCCTGGAGGCGAGGGGCTCAGGATGCCTGCCTGAGGTCGCGTTCCCCTCGTCCTCGTCCTCGTCCTCGTCCTCGTCCTCCTCCTCCTCCTCCTCCTCCTCCTCCTCCTCCTCCTCCTCCTCCCTGCTCCTCCCTCGACCCTTTCGTCCTTGCTCCCCTCCCGCTGTCTCTCCCCCTTATGCATTCCCGCCTGCCCGCCTGCCTGCCTCGTCCCGGGGGCCCTGGCCTCGCCAGCGTGCTTAACGTCGTCCGCTCGCTCCTCCCTCCCCTTCTCCCATCCAGGCTGCCGTGCATTTTAGAATATGTCGGGACGTTCGTTGCCGCTGTGGGAAGGCTCGACGTGAACTTTTGGGCCACGGGATGGCCATACATAAGATCAGTTGCACCGCGGCTGACTGAAACCACCCCCGGTGCCGAAGGCCTCAGACATTGGTGGAGAACTTCTGCAACAGGTTCGATGGGGTGGAACCCCCTTAGCGAGCGCACGCTGACTTGGACCAGAGATCCCAGGAAGTTTCGAGCGAGACCCTCACGAGGAGCATACGCCGTTTCAAACATACGATTTCAGCATTTGGCTTGTTCGGGGATGTCTTCAGCAACATTGTCATTTTCTGGGGGGATCCGCCAGCCGAGTGGCGATTTGCGCCGCGAACCCGTGGGCGCCCAATCTACGGATCGGGCTTCACACGAAGCCAGCGACGCCTGACTTGGGAGACGGGGCGCGCCGACAGTCCGTACGTCATCACGGGGCCCGTCACGAATCCGCGCGCCTTGCGCGTCCACGTTTGCGCTGCCTGAGCGCGAGCGCAGCGCGATCCCCCCGCCAAGCTGAGATAGTGTCCCCCCTCGCCGCCTACACACAAGGGTCGGGGAGACGTAAGATTCGGGTACGGGGGACTCGGGTTGTCCTGACGGGGCCACCCTGAAAATGACGAGACGCAATCGGAAATTTGGCGCGAACTCCCGCTGCAAGCATCCACCGAAAACCGGACCGTCAAGCTCCAGGACGCGCTCGTCAGAAAACTTCGGAAGCCCCGAGTTCCGGCTTGCTCGAGTCTTACGTTTCTCCGGAAAGGGTGACCCCATGCAAGAGGAACCTTTAGTGCGCGGACTGCGGGGGGGCAAGGTTGCCACATCCAAGCGCGCAAGCAGCCACCATCGCCTCGCATCACGCTCAGCGGTCGGGGGGACGCGGGTGAGCCCGTACCAAAGGTCACTCCGGCGCAGGGCCACTCTTACGTGTGGCGGCCTCGTCCCTCCGGAGGTCTCGGCCCCCCGTTTATAGCGCAAGAGGAGCCCAGACATCCGCGGATCCGATCTGCTCCACGTATCCGCAGGAGGTCCCGACCGCTTCCCCGGGGCGCGATCGCGGGCCCCGGGAGCCGAAACCGAGACAGGAGCGCGGACTGCAGAACATCAGATCTGGGGAGGACAGGAGGCAACGATACCGCTACTCCCCCTCGCAGCCTCGCCGGGTGGTCCCCGCTGGCCTCAACGGGTGCCCCCGGGTAGACGAGGAGCGAGGAGGGCGGAGGAGGAGGAGCGAGGAGGGCGGAGGAGGAGGCAGGAGGGAGGAGGGCGGAGGAGGAGGAGGAAGAGGAGGAGGCAGAAGGAGGCAGGAGGGAGGAGGAAGGAGGTACGAGAACGCACCCCCCGCGGGGGGCGTTCCGACCAGCCTTGCGAGGCGAATCCAGCGGTGGCGACAAGGGCCTCCGCGGGTGCCCAACACAGGCGACAGCGGCGCGAGGGTGGCGGTAGGGGTACCTCGAGGGAGAACCGAGGATGGAGGCTCGAGGTCCCCTCCTCCTCCCCCTCCTCCTCCTCCTCCTCCTCCTCCTCCTCCTCCTACCTCCTCCTCCTCCTCCTCCTCCTCCCTCCTCCTCCTCCTCCTCCTCCTCCTCCTCCTCCTCTCTACTCCTCCTCCTCCTCCTCCTCCTCCTCCTCCTCCTCCTCCTCCTCCTATCTGGTCCTCCCCTCCTCCTCCTCCTCCTCCTCCTCCTCCTCCTCCTCCTCCCTCTTCCTCTTCCTCCTCCTCCTCCTTCTCCTCCTCATCCTTGGCGCTGCGCCCGGTGGGGGAAGCGAGAGGGGGCGGGCCTTCTCAGAAGGCGCGGAAGCCCCCCGGGCCTTCGGAGAAGTTGTCTGAGCCTTCCCCGAATGGAGGGCAGAATATCCACCCGCATAGCAATCATTCCAAAAGGCAAAGCCGTTCAGTAAACGCACCCAAAGAAGGAATCGAACAGGGCAGGGCTGTTTAGTAAACGCCCGGGGCCGTGCCCTTTGTCGTGGTCTGGGTGTTTTTTCCTCGCTTGATTTCTGAGCCTTCCACGAAGACCTCAAACACCTCTCAGAAGGCCAGAGGCCTTCTGAGAAGCCCCGCCGCCATCTGAGAGGCCCCCCTTCTCATTTCACCCCCTCGCTCCCCGTCCCCCCTCGTCGTCATCATGGTCGTCGTCGCCGTCGTCGTCGTCGTCGTCTCGCTTCCCCCCCCTCGCTCGCCGCCGATCCTCGGGCTGAAGGTCCCCCCCCCCCTCAGACATGCGACGTCCTGACTTTTTCAGGACGGCGTGCCCGGGAATGCCGACCTTTCATTTCCCCGGGAGCAATGTTTCGCCCCGAGTCGTTTCTGGACGGTCCCGCGAGGCCCGGCGAGGGCCCCCGGGGGCCGAAACTAGCCCCAAAATATAAGAAAAAAACAATGCACAGTCACCGAGTCTGGCCAGGCCCATCCTGAGCCCAGGATCGGTGCATACGCCCTCCTACCCTGGCCAGGAAGGCATGTGCACCGATCCTGGGTCAAGGATGGGCCTTGCCAGGATCGGTGCATGTGCACAGTTCTCTCGGCGGTGGACAAACCTCCCTTTAGTAGACCTCCCCTTAGTGAAAACGGCCTGGGACCGAAACCGACGGACCTGGACCCGCAAAAACGACGGCCGCGACGCCCTCTCGCGAACCGAAAACGGCCAATTCCTCAATCGACGTGTCAGGGTAGGAGGTCTGTCCACCCCCGATTCTCTTCGCCTGACCAAAACGCCCTGCCCTGATTTGTTTTTTTACGACGCGGTCATTTCGGGGATAGACAGAACTCCCTTTAGCAAAACGTGGTTTATGGAAAACTACCTCAGGCCCAAACCTGGCGGGCGCAAGCCTGGCAAATAACATCCGCGGCGCCCTCTCGAGAACCGAAAACGGACAATTCACAAATCGACGTGTCAGGGTAGGAGGTCTATCCACCCCCGATTCTCTTCGCCCGACCAAAACGCCCCGTCCTGAGGAGGAGGAGGAGGAAGAGGAAGAGGAAGAGGGGAAGGAGGAGGAGGAGGAGGAGGAGGAGGAGGAGGGGGAGGAGGAGGAGGAACATGAGGAGGAGGAGGTGGAGGAGGAGGAGGAGGAGGAGGAGAAGGAGGAAGAGTTCGGGTCATGTTCGGGCCCTCGCCCCTCCTGCGGCGGCCAGCCTAGCGCTCCGGGGAGCGCGTGCGCGCCCGGGCCCGGCCCCGGCGGCGGCGCCCTCCCCGCGAGCTGCTGGTCCAGGGCCTGCCGGTGCTGCGCCAGGCTCGCCTGCCAGGGCAGCGGGGAGGGAGGCGCAAGCCCAGACCTTCTGGCGTCGTGAAAAAATCACGACGGGAGGTTTTTCGCTATTTTCGGCCTCCGGGGGCCCTCACCGGGCCTCGGGAGCGTCAAAAAACGATTCAGGACGAAGAACCTGTCCGGGGGAAGGGGTCCAGACCTCTGGGGGTCGACGTTGTGAAAAAATCACAACGTCGGGGGTCTGGGGGGAGGGAGGCTCAAGTCGGGCACGTCCCTCGACGAGAGGACCACTCCAAAATGGTAGAGAAACATGGTGCGGGGGCGATGCTTCGACTATGTTTGCTTCTTTGGGGGGGGGGCGTTTGTGGAGTATTTGTCGCGTCCCTTCCAAAATCCGCCTGTAGGAGGACACGCCCGGCGTAAAGGAAGGCGCAGAGGAGTCCCACGGAGGCCCCAAGAGGCCTCCAAGGCGCTCCCAGAGCGAAAGGTCGCAAAAGGATCTTCAAATTGACTCCCGTCGTCGCCGTCGGCGTCGTCGTCGGGGGGAACTCGTGAGCGCCGCTTCTGGCTTGCTTGTTCCGTCTCCCAGAATCGTAGCCTCCCAGATGACGCCCAAGCAGATGGGGCCCAAGGATCACGCCAACGTCGCCGACGCATTGGAGATGCATCGGCGACGTCGACGATGCATAGGCGCCATCGGCGAGGTGAAAATCGGGCTCCACATCGAGCCGCATAGCCGATGCACTGGCGATGCGGCGCGATCCCTCGACCCAATCCGTGGTGGGCCAATCTTCCATCACCTCTACCATAGGTCGGACGGGGGAGAAGAGAGGATGGGGAGGTCCTCCTCCTCCTCCTCCTTCTCCTCCTCCTTCGCCTCCTCAGCCACCTAGGTAGCGGTGGTGGAACATCGGTCCATCGATCCGCTTCGACCCTGCGTGGGAGACCTGGCCTCTTCCGCCGGGGCCTCTGGAGGACCTTTGAGGCGCCTCTGGGGGGTCGTCGCGGGGGGGGCGGGATCGGGGGCGGAGCCCAAGACTCGCCGGCCCCACCTTGTGCTGCCGCAGCAGGTTGTTGACCTACGGCGGCGCACCCAGAAGGGAAGTGGGAGGGAGGCCCTCTGAGGCACCTCCAGGAGTCGTCGGGGGGGGGGGCGGGCGGGGTCCGGGGCGGAGCCAGGACTTGTCGCCGGCCCCGCCTTGTGCTGCCGGAGCAGGTTGCCGACCTGCGGCGGCGCGCCCACGAAGGAAGGGGGACGGGGCGGGCCTGCTTCGGGGGCGGCGATGCGGGCGAAGTGCCCCAGGGGAGAGCAATACACAGGCATTCAGGGTCGCCGATGGTCCATACCCTCGGCGAGGCTCCCGGGCGAATGTGTGTAATGCCCGCGCCTGGGATGTTCGCCCCTATGGTCGCCTCCGACCCCGAAGGAGGCTCGGAAGCCCCCCTGGCCTCCCGAGAAGTTCTCTAAGCCTTCCCCGAAAGCGCAGAACACTCCTCAGAAGACCACAGGG